TAAATCGTCTTGCTGATTAGATCGATATATTTCCTAATCCTGATATTAATTGGAGTATAGTCTATACTTATGTGTTATTTATATAATCCATCAAACCATACCTCGGAGCTATAGAGGGCAACAGGGAGTATACAGATAATGATTGCTTTTTATAGACAGATTATAAAGAGTTTATAGGCTATATAGATTATTGATTGGATATAAGACACAACATATATAGCTTTCACAATATATATCTTAATATATTATAAAAACATTAGATATTAATCAAAAAAGATGCCAAGTTAGTATAATATCAGTTGTACTTTGCTGATAAGTTTTAAAAGAGTTAATGTAATGACTAGATTCTGACTTATTCTTATAGTCGGGTTTGTAGTTTTATATTTTCTCGATATATAGAATAACTCAAACTTTTCTGGGGCAAAAAAGATCTTATTCTGATCTTCCTATCTTAGGATATATTGTACGGTTTGGCGGAGCACGCGTACATTCGTGGATAGGTCTCTAGATGTGTAATATATAGTTATATCGTTAGCGTAGCCGAAACGCTGTTAAAAAGAGAATAGATATTGGTGTAGGGATAGTATTAATACAATTGAATAATCAGATTTTATATCAAGAATAAATCAATATTGAAAGTAATCAACTAGTTTATAATGGAGAGCTATATAGAGTTATCCAAGTTATCGAATATACTAGCTTAATTACTAGTAATAAAAAGAAGTTTAAGATTTATTTAAATAATCAAGTAGGCCTTCTTCAATTGAAAACACTCTCAAACTATTTAGGGCAAGCATATCAAATTCGAGCAATTAAGGCAGTCGAAGCTATTATAGCTAAAGGATCTGAAATATCCTTAAATTGGGTATTAGGGCATATATTAGTTAAAGAGAATAAGCTAGTAGATAAGTTAGCAAAAAGACTATTATAATATAATTCATCTCAAATAAAATCAGTTTCGGATTACTAGAAATAATAATCAAAGAATCCTTTCTTAATCAATAAAGTTCAATTCTTAATCAATATAAACTCAGATTTAATCAATTAGTATTAATCTATTCAAAACTATTTCTATAAAAAATCGGATCGAAAATTAAACTATCAATTAGAACCAATCGAAATATTGCTAGTATACTCTTCCAATTGAAATTAGGTTATGAATATATCAAATCATATCTATATCGATTTAATTACTTCAATAATAAATATATATATAGTAATATTGAAATATCACAATATCTTCTGATTAATTATTCTATATATAAAACAGAAAGAAAAGAGATATTCCAGAATATATTATTATTGAAAATCATTATACAATTTCTATTATATACTAAAATAGGTATCAAATTAACTATCAAATTTATCAATATCACTAAAATCACTATAAAGATATAACATTTAGTAAGAACTTTTGAATAAGAAATAATAAAGAAAGGAGTAATAATGAAAAAGAAAAGAGAAAAAATAATGAAAAAGAAACAGTTAAGAAAATAAGAAAAAGGCTTAACCTTTTTACAATTTCTTAATCGTTAGAATTTTCTTATTATATATAATATATATAATAAGCAGATATTATTCCTTAGTATTTATTTTTACTTCCTTAATAAGATTATAATTAATATTATAAATCAAAAAGTTATTTGTTAGGCTTATTGGGCCTAGTTGTTCTATATAGTCTTAGACTGAAGGTGGACATAAATTCAATCAATCAATTAATCAATCAATCAATCAATCAATTAATCAATCAATTAATCAATAACCTACAATATCAAAACCACGAAAAAATACAAGATTGAGGGAGAGAATTCTGAGAGGGATTCTATATCTATCTAGGTATCTACACACAAATATTACACTCGAACAAACAAACAAACGAATCCGACTCAAACTTCCAAAAACTACAATCATAAATGAAAAGAACAAGAAGTAAAAGCGAACTACACAAATTCGTCAAATGATCATTCCCTCTTACTCTAGGATTCCCCCTCCTCATCTTCACATGAATCAAAACAACAGAAATAGAAATCACATCGTTCCCTCATTATAAAGCTGACATTAATCAATTTCGATCACGATTACAATTCCAATCTCGCTCTTCTCTTCTCATCACTTTTTCCGTGCCCCTTTCCCGCTTTCTCCATACATCCAGAATTTCTTTTTTTTTCATAAGTTTCCTTACTATCACTGTCATCTTTCCATTCCTTACCAAATAACACACAGATACACAGCCTCACTCCGCTCCGCTCTTCCTCCTCCCATATCTTCCAATTTCCAATTCCCATTTTCTCGTTTCCACCTCTAAGATTCAAAGTCTCGGGTCTGAGATCTTAGACCAGGAAATAACCAGTTATCTCTGCGTATACATGCGTACACATATATGTATCTAGATATATATCTACATACAAACACACAAACACCCGTACCCACATTCACAATCCCTCTCAATCTCCGATCCACACTACTCTACTGCTCGCTATCTACCTGCCACTATCTGCCTACCTTACAATCAATTCATTTCCCTCACTATGTATACCGCATATCACATACTACACATCACCATAACCCACTTCCCTACGCTCACGCAACTCCCGTCCGCCCCGCCCATCCGCAAAACCACATATACACATCCGCGAAATAAGTCCCTCCTCTACCACCATATGATATTCCTCTACCGAATAAAACGAACCCACTCCACCTCCCCTATACTCAACACTCCCCGCCCATCCATCTCCCATTCTACCACTCCCTCCCATCCTACCACCACCTTCCAACCCCCGTCCCTCCCCTCCCTAACCGAAAATCCCACCGATACCCCACCACCTAGCATTCAACCCCACCCCACCCCCAATACCAAGAATTCAATACCACCCTATAACCTTAATACCAACCTCTGATCCACCCATCCATAAAGTTACCAACTTCTCATTCGTCATTTACTCTCCCCCAATCTATTCACTAATCCATCCATCCATTAATCAATCTATTCAAATTTTCTTTCTTTCCTTCTTTTCCCCCAGTCCTCCTCAGCCATCAACTTACCTCAACTCAAACTGGTCCACCACACCACACCACACCACCCAATCCAATACAATCCAATGCAAATAAATTTCCCTTCAGCTCGCCATACCATACCATATCATGCCATTCTGCACCCCTCCATCCGCCCATCCAGCTACTCATCCGTATATGCACTGTACATATGCAATGACACATCCCTTCCCCTTCCACACCTACACCTGCACCCACAACCACATCCTCACCTCGCATACCAATCCTTTCCCCAACCAATCTCACCAACCGTCACACCCACTAACCAGCACCCACACCAGCAAACCAGTCAAACAAGCCAAACCAATCAAAGCCAGACCAATCAAACATAAGTACAACATAAGCATGAGTAAGTAGGTATAACTCTAGACCTCTCTCTCTCCTCTCCATCTCTCCTCTCGATCCCTCTAACCTACCCACTCCTCCAAACTGCAGTACCAATTCCAATTCCAATTCCAATTCCATTCATCAACTCCAAATGAACCAATTAGATTTATATATTATACATTATATATTACATATCAATCCACATTCACATTCACATCCACCCAAACCCATCCACACACCACCAACCAATCAACAACCCAAACGAACCAACATAAGTATAAATAGGTAACTCTAGATCTCTCTCGATCTCTCTGGACCCTATTAGATCCACCCAGTCCCATCCACCCAATCCCATCCATCCAATCCCATTCATCCAATCCCATCCATACACCCATCCACCCGGTCCCACACATTCATACACCAATCGAACAATCAAACAATCTAGACCCTAGATTCTAGATTTTCACACCGTAACCACCTAGACTACCCTGACTACTCTGACCACCTAACTACTCTAACTACTCTAACTACTCTAACTACTCTAACTACTCTAACTACTCTAACTACTCTAACTACTCTAACTACTCTAACTACTCTAACTACTCTAATTATTCTAACTACTCTAACCACCTCCTTACCCTAACCACCTTAGCCACCTATCTATCTAACCACCTTAACCACCTACTTACCCACTATCCCTATCCCTATCCCTATTCCTATTCCCATTCCTATTCTCATTTCTATTCCTATCCCTATCCCTATTCTCTTCCACCTAGTCAGGCCAGGCCAGACCAGGCTAGGCCGAATCGAATCGAGTCGAGTTGAGTTGAGATGAGATGAATTGAGGTGAATTAAGATGAGTTGAGGTGAGTTATTCATATATACTTACTTAGATACTTAGATACTTAGGTACTTGTAGGTACCTAGGTATGAAGAATAAGAACAAGAACAAGAACAAACTCTCACTCTCACTCTCACTCTCACTCTCTATGCATACAAGAAAGAAAGAAAGTCCTCTCCCCCCCCCCTCCAAGAAAAGAAAAAAGAAAAGGAAAGAAGAATAAAAACACTCACACAAACAAAAACAACAATAATAGCAAAACCATATGAAATATGAAATTAGGTAATGTATATTATTACTAGGTAGGTATTATTACTACGTAATTTCAGGTAGTGGAGGAAGTTGAGGTAGGCAGGTAGGCATATACAATCTATGTAATGCCACTCACTCACCACCCTCCTCCTCATCCATCCTCATCACAACCACAACCACAACTCAGCAAAACAAGAAACACCAGATTCGAATCTTTGTTCCAAAATCTCTTCTCTCGAGGTATAAAGCGCCATTCCATTTTCCATGCCAACCAATTTCCAACCAAGAACAATTCGATCCAAAATTCCCTTTCACTCCATTCCATTCCCATAAACATTACTCCTAATTTTCGTTTCCGGTTTGTCCAGGAGAGAAAGAAAGACTGTCATGTAACGCATTACCGTTAAAGACAATCCTTGAATACCCTGTTGATCCCCAGGTTTGGGTCGAAAGAGGTTGTAAAGATGCGATCGTAAAGTCATCATATCATGACATGATCCAGCTTCTCGCCTTGATCCTGCGCGCATCCTCATACAAAATTCATATGTTCATCATGAACCATTAAAGAATCCACGTATGTCGGAAAACTCTCCAAATCAATATCCATATCCACATCCTGATACTCTCCACCCAATACTCCCCCAAATGCTATTTTTGTTTCTCGACTTAACATCGATGTACCTCCCAGCGGTCGTTCACTTCCGATTCCCATGACCAAATCTTCACAAAATGGTATTTCAACTGGTGTCGGTTGTGGTGTATTTTCTCCTTCAATTCCCTTGCAAGCTTTCCCACTACTCATCGGTCTACCCATTCCACAATTCTTCATTGATTGTGTCCAATCGTGCATACAATATGATTGTGACGATTGTCTCTTTGCCGCTCTCGCCATACTCATCTTCGCTTCTCAATAATTCCTCTTTCCAAAGTGGTAGTAATCTATAATTCAAATTTTCCATAATCGCTCTCTGCGTGAAGTTAATCTGATCACAACTCCACAATCCTCTTGCCCATTTCTGCGCATGGTAAAGGGTGGTTCCTTGTTGATCATCTATTAAATTCATCGCCAATATGAGGGCTGCGAGAACGATCACTTCGGGATGTGTAGAATCGATGTGTTGTTCTTCTGCACATTGTGGACTGGGGAAATCATATTGTTCGAGTAATTGATCTTCGGATGATTCGAGGGGATATGAAATTCGCCACGAGCGAGCAAATCTAGAATTAAGGGAATCGAGGATGCAGACTGCGAGGGCGAGGATTTCGATGGGTAGATCGGCGCGGGTTAATATGGCGTGCACTAGTTGAGTGGAGGGATCGGTTAGAGAAGTGGAGGAGGGGATTAGATTTGTGAGATGGATTGCAGGACCTAGATTTTGCCAAAGAGATTAGCCTAAATGTTGTGCAGGAAAAAGGTTGATGGTGTGCATAATGTGATGACGGAATGGGTTGGGAAGGTTACGAGGTACATACCCAAATAGTCTGGATCAAGGATTTCATCGGAGCTGAAAAGAGATATTGGTGATTGAGCTGCCGTGGTATCATAGGAATGAGAGGAGAGAGGTGGGGTTGGTAGATTTGAGAGTGGGACATAAGTTTGTTCGAAGAAATCCGAATCAAAAGAATCGAATGATGATATGGATGAGGATCTTTTGCGCGAAGACATTGAAAGTGGTGGAGACATTGTTGGATTCATAATTGAAGAATTATAATAAAGACTGATGTATTATATTTGTATTGTAACCGAGAGGGAGGTTGGTTATGTAGTTCTGAAGTGAGAGCGAGAGATCGAAGGAAGTTGTTGGCATGTATTGGAAAATGTAGGTTTGAGGAATGTATAAAGTAATGTAGGAAGTCGCATCAAGGTTTGTATGCAGATATAAATCCTTCTGATGAGGTGATTCCAATGTTCGATTTTCCAATCACCCTTTCTTGGTCTGAATGAGAATGAATGCCCAGGTGGTTGTTCGATTATAGAAGAATCCTTTGCCTTGCCTTGCCTTGCCTTGCCTTCCCCTTCTTCATGCAATGCAATGTAATGTAATGCACGTTTGAATGGACTTTCTTTGGCTTGCTGAAAAGAGTCGATTATGTTGTATTATGATTCTTGATTGAGTCTTGCCAAGTCGCGGATGCGTTTTCTTTCGATGTAGAAATGAGTGAATTCGAGAATGAACTTTGACTTCACTATGGATCTTCTTCCTTTGTATATCCTCGTATCGTAACACCAGACACTCGAAACACGAAACAAAGTGAGGGAAAGTAATGAGCAACGAACGAGGAGTTGGAATCAATACTTTATACTTGAAAGATTGGATGATTGAAAGATTGAACGATTGAAAGACTGTCCGAAGCAAACTTACATGAATCAAATTAAAAAGGAATCGAAGGAGCGGGATTATCAGAGCTCTATATACTTAATTCATTGTACGAAGTAATGCAAGAAGTTCAAGATGAAGTTCGGTGTGAGGAAATGGGGTAGATGAGTTTATTTTTATGGGGAATTATATAAATGGATATATGGATATATGGATATGTGGATATAAAATGAATATTATGGGTTATATATGGACATATATGGGACATATATGGACATGTTTATGGAAATAATATATGGAAACGAAATGGATATAGACGGATACAGATGGATATCATAATGATCATGGTAATGGGAAAGAAATGCGAGGTGGAAGAAGACGGAAAACGCAAAGGTGGCTCGGGTGATTGACCTGGCTTAGAGCTTCTTGGTTCAATCTGAGACAAATCCAAGCACAAGCCATTGATTTGATTTTTTCTTCTTTGAGACGATTAGATGTTGACGGAGTAGGTATTCATCTGATCCATCCGATAATCCATTGAATATTATTTGAGTCAGGTATTGGGAGAAGAAAGTATTTTGACTCTCCCTCTCTTGACTCTCTTGACTCTTAACTCCTTAAGTGTTTTAGTAGAAGATCAAAGAGAATATACTACCACCCCCCTTCTCTCCCTTTTCCCCCTTCATTCTCGCCAACCTTACACGACATAGAATACTTCTTCGGTCTTTCCATAAGCCTTATCACGCGATCTCTTTGTACATCTCGTCAACTTACCTACTACATGTTGTTCAAATGGCATCCAATTATAATCTGACAATCTGACATTCAATTCATCCAACCCATCTACCCATCCAACCCATCTACCCATCTAATCCATATAAAACTCATTCAATATACAACTAACCTCAAGCTAACCACACATCAATCTGCACATCTGCACAGCTGCCATATCCTCAGCTCCTCTTCCCCCCCCTCCCCTCCCCACCCCAAAAACCTCGTACCACCAGCATCCCATTCCACCATGCCCTACCAAGTTACCAAGCCTCCGAGCCCTCCCAAAATCTATCCACCGAACGGCCGCTAATCCAAAAGGTACCGATGGCGTTCCCAGCATCCCAAGGTTCGCTGGCCCTCTTCTCGTAATGACCAACCAGTGACCACGAATCCGATCCTTCACCGTCTTCCCATCCTCACGTTTCATGCAAGAAGTAACTAGGGTCTTGGTACAGATGTCCCGTTCGTATGTAAAATTCAATCGACATGCATGCATTATTGTACGTGGGAATATCGTATTCGGTATGTACATCTAGTACGAAGTAGACGGGTGATGGTATGTAAAGAACACATGTGAAGAATCTTACTCTGTAAATTTTCCGTTTCTTACCAATCCGGTATTTCGATTTCTTAAAACTGTCAAATCAGCTATATCTATTTACCTACCCAAGTATACTTCGTACAAACAACAATTACCTACTAATAAATCCTCCATCCAAACCATCCAAACCACCCAAACCTCAAACCAAAGCTGGCGTGCTCAGATTCCCCTCTCCATCACCTCATTCCAAACACGGCACGATCAGCAAGCCAAAGCACACCCCAAGAAGAAAAGAAAAAAAAAGAACCAAACGCAAAACCATACCTACATACATCACCAGCGACCCTAAAAACTCTAACCCGACCCGCGTCCACCCATCCATCCATCGTCAAACTCACCTAAGTATTAGCCAGGAACCACACCACTCACCAACCCACCAAGCAGAACCTTTCCCACCACCTAAGATCCGATCCTTCGACCTTCCCTTCTGTGATCAGCATGATAGATGAGGAGAACCCTGATGATTTTATTGTTTGTTTGCTGGGAAATCTGGAACCCTGAATATCTATGTACGGGATGTGGTATTGCTGTGGTAGGTAGAGATTTCATTTATGCATGCATCATATCGTAGGTACCTAAGTAAGTATTTTATGTATGGATTGATAGGTAAATCAAGGAACAAACAACACGAGTTCTTCTGCTCAGCCACTCTCATTTAGATATAGTCTGAAAACGAATATAGACGCACAGACTTCAAGATACCTACGGTATATAGATGAAGGTTTCTTATCGATCTCCTACTTTGATTTTCAGATTTATACGAAATGTATCGGAGTTCTTGTATATATATATTATAAATTATAAATCGATCGATTTGAGTCTTTCTTAATATATATCTAGATAGGGAGATACTTACTAGTATTTTGATGAGATAATAAGTTTTGATATAATGAATTATCATCTATAAAACAACTAAATCTATATATAATATAATAGATATAGATAAATATAAATTCAAGATTTCATTATCTTCTAGAGTTTTCATAGAGAAAATATAGCTAGTAATCAATCAATCAATCAACTCATTTATTCAAGAAAATATAATAACATCTAGATAAACTTTATATATATCCTCATTACTATTACTCTCCTATTCCCTCTCTCGTTTCCCCTCTATTAAAACATAAATACAAATACAAATACAAAATACATTCATCACTCATATTCATCTAAACAACTACACAATCATACAATCATACAACCACACGTCCCCTTACAAATACATTCATCATCAAAACCACACACCAAATAAATACCTCCGTAAAACAAAATAAAGCCGCGCCACCACATCATCACCCCACTATCTACCTAGATATCCACCCCACTATCTATCCTATCCTATCATCCTATCATCCTATCCTATCCCATCCCATACCCATACCCATACCCATGCCCATACCCATTACCCATTATCCTTCTCTTCTCTTCTCTTCTCTTTTTTCATCTCAGTCCTTCCTTTCCATCCCGCTCCAAGTCTCGTGAGTCGTCTCCAAGTCTCCAAGCGAGCAGGAAACCAAGCAAGTAAGTAAGCAAGCAAGCCGGCCTCCAATTTCCAATTTTCACTTTTCACTTCCGAGTCCCGATGTCAATTTTTATCTCGGGCATACTGTAGTACCTAGGTATTTGTATGAGTGAGTACCTAGCTAGAGGGTGAAAACTTCTTGTGTTTTAGTTTTTTACTGCTTTATTTTATATTTCATACCTATTAGCTATATATATCATATGTTATATATGTCATACAACAATCTATTGTAGAATACACATATAGTATAAATATACAATATATCGAATAATAATAATATATACATCGCTTTATATATACATATCGCTTCACCTCGTACTAGATATTTACACATGCATTTATTCATACATCAACCATACTTCATACCACCTCTTACCGCATCCATTCCATCAGATCAACCAATTCAATTCAATCGTAAAACCACATCTTTAATATCACATCTCTAATATCATATCATCCCGTCTCAAAACTTCTCTTTTTCTTTCTTTTGTATCTATATATCTATATATCTATATATCTATCTATATAAGTATCTAAGCTAGACTTTTACTCTTCTCCGACCCCCCTTTCTCTTTTCTATCTCCCATTTATCTACCTACCCCACCTACCCCCCTATCTATCTATCTCATCTATCTCCCTATCCATCTCCCTACCTCTCCATCTCCCTATCTCTCCATCTCCCTACCTCTCCATCTCCCTACCTCCCTATCTATTTACCTCCTTACCCACCTACCTCCCTATCCATCCACCTATCCAACTACCTATCCAACTACCTACCCAAGCATCTAAGCACCAAGCACCTCAGTACCAAATACCAAATATCAAATATCAACGATTTCTTTCCTACACCAATCTCCACTCCCTCCCTCCCTTTTAAACCATCCATCCTCTCAAACCATCCATCCATCCATCTACCCATCACCATCAAACCCTCCATCCCTCCATCCATCCCTCAAACCTTCCGTATTGGGATTGTATTGGGATTGTGTATATCTATTAGAAATCTACCAGATATCTACCAGATATCTACCAGATATCTACTAGGAATCTATTAGGAATCTAGGCATGCTAGATATCTATTATTACTAGGAATCTATCAATCTATCAATCTATCAATCTATCTATTCATGCGGGATCTTGTGCTGAGTAGGTATTGATAAATAAGTAGGTTGGTGGTAGGTAGATAGGTGGGTAGATTGGTAGGTAGGTAATCATCATTTACAAGATAAACAAATACAAGCTATACATACATACACATCAATTGAAATCTAATCAATCCAATATACAAAATCAGAATCAAATTTTCATTCCCACACGTGAAAAAAATGATAACACAATACAATAAACTAAACTAAATGATACACTACCGGTACTCAATCACGTCAAATGAAAATGATCCCCCTCCCCCTTTTTCCCCACAATCCCCAATCGCACTTTCCTCCTAAACCTCTCTTCCCTCTCCTCCCCTTCCCTCTCCTCTCGAATCCTCTTCTTCCTCTCATAAACCGCCCGTACCGTCCGTCGAATCTGTTCTTTCCCCTCTGCGAAATTCGCCTTCGCCAACTCCACCACACGATCGATATCATCCGGGGTATAAACAAAATTCCACGTACTCATGTAATCACTAATCGCCGGATCCACGCCCTCGACCTTGGGATTCGCGAGAAACGGTAGATAAACCACGGCGATCCCAGCATCCGGTGTCATCAATTGCCAATCTTCCTTCACCGCTTTAGATAACGGTGGTTCCTCCTCGACCCGTTCTTCGGTTGTCCCCACCCACACGGTACAATATCCTAAATCACCACTATCTTCCGCATCCAAACTCCTTGGGTTCTCTTCGCTTGACACGACCCTTTCCAAATGCGTCGCTTGTTCCTCTTGTGCTTTTTCCAACTTGGTTTCTGCTTCGGCTGCGGTACTGACTTGAGCTTGATCTAATTGTTGTTCTGTTTTCTCAGCTGAATCGCTTGATTTTGGCCAGCCAACGCCAATCGGCCAGCCTTTAATGCCACGCTGTCTTGCATATCCATCAACCACTGATAGCCAATTATCTGTTCTAACATCTGCACTTGCGTCAAAAGCAATGAGCACGTCGACTTCTCTTCCTGGTCGAAGTAGCGGGTAGATAGGTAAATTATTGGACATTCCAGCATCCATGAGTTTCAAATGTGTACTTTGATAGATACTTTCTGGAGCCGTCTCCGGAAGCTGTCCCTTCATTCCGTAGGCAAAGTTGGGGATACTAGCTGGATCGATCGGATGAACTTTACTTAAATCCTCATTTCGTCCTGCGATCATATCATCGATACTACCAAATCCCATCAATCCCTTAACCAAAGGTCGGACTTCTCTATAATAGTGACTTAAAGTAGCGCAAAAAGCACTTCCAAAAATCCCAAGAAGAAGTGGCAGTCGTAGCTCGGGTATTCGCAATCCAGTCTCTTCATGAGGAATGTCTTGTCCACCCTCGAATTTCCGACCTAGTG